CACAGGCCTTGATCCCATGACCTGTGAGATCAGGACCTGAGCCAAAACTAAGAGTCAGAAACCCAACCGACTGGGCCACCCAGGAGCCCCTCCAGAGACATCATTTAAAAACAGATAGACATCACTCCTCTGCTGAAACCCACCTAATGACATCATCATGCTCAGGATACCTGTCACGTTTCATGCCCTGTCTTACCTGGGTCCTGCCCAATCCTATCCATACTTCTGCTCTCCCCATATTTGGTCCTTACCATCTTCCCAGCAACCTTACTCATCACCCTGAACTTTTGTACCTGCTGTTCCATCAGCCTGGAACAGTTTTCCTCCAAGACTCACTTGGCTACTTCACTTCATAGTTGGGATACCTGACATTATTAACTTATTCATGCTTTGGGTCTCAGCTAGAATTTAAAGTCCTTGCTGGCAGTGCCTTTCTTGGTCCTATCCTGTATTTATTCCTCACACCTAGAAAAGCATTAATCACGGGGCTGCCATACCATAAACATAACCTGTAGTTAACTGAATTGATTTCCCTAAATCTTGAGGATGTACTGCCTTCAGAAATGTATGAATTAATTTTAAAATAGGCAAACTACAGTGGCAATTAGCACACGGATCCAATAGTGTACCCTGGCAAATATTTCTACCTTCCTAATGAAGCTGACAGCTGCCTTCTGTGTGCCGTGTGGGTCAGCTGCTATGGCAAGCCCAGCCTCTGAGAGGTCCGTCATCAATCCACCCTGTGTGTGCATGGAACTCAGGGAACTCAAAGGGACTCATTAGACACACTGGGCAGAAGCCAGGGGAGGGCTACCGTCAGCATTTTTATTTTGATGCATTTTGGTGTCAGCTGTCCCACATTAATTCACTGAATTTAATTAGAGGGTTGAATGGGAACCCTTCAACTATGGCATCTAAGTGACCACTGCAGTCCAATACTGTCAATCAAAGTGAACCCACATATATCCAGGAAGCAGGCATGTGTTACAGGGGGTATGCTTACAGACACACATCCCACATGTCAGAGATAAATCTAGGCCCAAAACAATACTAACAAAGCTTGTTTATTCAAACAAGAGAACCCTTCTGCCATCCCCTTGTTTCAGCAGGCGTTCAAAGGTGTCAGGGAGTATATTTCATGGAATTAAAAGGAAATGCTGTCCCATTGAAAAGCATTCTGCAAGGGTAGGATTAGTGGAGTGAGGGAGACTCACTGGTCTTCCAGTACATTTGGCCATCCTTGGTTAGCTGCAAGGGGGCAAGTGAGAAGTTTGGGGACATTTCAAAAGAGGAAAGGGCGGAGGGTTTTCTGTGGCCAGCCATTTCCTGGAACAAGTAGGGGTCGACGAGATGCTTGCCTGTAGTCAAACTGTCATCATGGTTATGGGGCAGGGGGTGGCTGCTTTCCTGCATAAAGTTTCTCATGTGATCATTCCATTTAAAATAATTATAATTTTAGAGTTGAACTTTGACCCACTACCCATGGTCCCACCCCCCATGTCTATTCAATGAATGGAAAACCTCAGATACAGGGTAATTTGGTGTTTAAGCCTTAGTTAGCAATGGTCAGAAACAGAAATCAGAAGTTTTCCTGAATCCTAGGGCTATGGATACAACCCCCATGCTTCTCAAAAATAAAACAAGGAAAACAATGAAAATACAGTCAGCAGCAACAAAAACCAGTTCTACCCAGGCCCAAGGGTACCCTTGCTTCTGTAACAGAACCCTGACCCTGTCTGTTATGGAGTTCGGGGGCTCTGGTTTTCAGGGGATCCTAAGCCTCTCCCCAGTACTGGAAAGAGTCCTCAATCCGTCCAAGTCAGTCAGTTCTCCACGGATCTTTTTCGCCAGTGAACAGAAGGGAAAAGTGGGTGGGCGGAGGGTGGGGGGCAGGGGAGCATCTGGAAAAGAAAGTTTGAGGGTTCTTAAGGGCCCACAGAAGTGGTATTTTCTGCGGTGGGACATGGGTGGGGTTTGTTTTCCGTGTGTGGGAGAAAGGTTCATACAATTTGGCAATGTTAATTGAAAGTCAGAATCTCTTTGACCCAACAATCCCCCTTCTAGTATGTTATCCTACACAATCAAGGCATTTAGGAAAGAAAAAAAATTAACACATTCAAAGACATACTGGTTTTTTGTTCTAATAAAACCAAAGAGGGACGCCTGGGTGGCTCAGTTGGTTGAGCAGCTGCCTTCGGCTCAGGTCATGATCCCAGCGTCCTGGGATCGAGTCCCACATCGGGCTCCTTGCTCATCAGGGAGCCTGCTTCTCCCTCTGCCTCTGCCTGCCAGTCTGTCTGCCTGTGCTTGCTCTCTCTCCCTCTCTCTCTCTCTCTGACAAATAAAAAAAAAAAAAAAAAAAAAAAAAAAAAAAAACCAAAAAAAAAAAAAAAAAAAAAAAACAAAGAATTGGAACTACCCCAAGCATCCAACAACGGGGCATCAGGAAACAGCGTGAGAGACTTTGAAACAAGTCCCCCCAACCTGCCGGCACTTAACAGAGTGCTTTTAAGCTACTTGATCATGATGCAAATCGAGGGAAACAGATCATGCAGGTGATTCCTGTCGATACATATGCAAGTTGCACCATGTAAAGTCCTAAATGTAACTGATTATTATTCAGTAGATACTGGCCGATTCTGCCAGCTATGTATCTACTAAAGCAAATTTTTCAGCATTCTTACTGGGCTAATTATATTTTTATTTGTTCTCTGGATTCTCCTTTGAACCAATTAAAACATCTTAACTTGTTCTCTCATTGATGAACAAATAATACCTTTAACATACTTGTTTTGTATCTGAGTCATGATTTTACTTTCTAAAAACAGAACTTATCCTTCAGCAAGGTGGTTAAGTAAATTTAGTACATTCATTTGATCTTACCTACAGCCCTCTTCAAAACAGTTATAAAGACAATACAGCTGGGTGCCTGAGTGCCACAGGTGGTTAAGTGTTGGGCTCTTCGTTCAGCTCAGGTTGTGATCCTAGAGTTGTGGGATTGAGCCCCGTGTTCAGCTCTGCATCAGTATGGAGTCTGCTAGAGATTCTCTCTCCCTCTGCCCTTCCTGCTTGTACTCTCTAAAATAAATAAATAAACCTTAAAAAACAAACAAAAAACTTATACATTAAAACTAAGAGAGGGGTACCTGGTGGCTGGGTAGGTAGAGCCTACAACTCTTGATCTCATGGTTGTGAGTTTGAGCCCCATGATGGATACAAAGATTAACTAAAAGTAATTTTTTTAAAAAAAGATTTTCTTTATTTATTTGAGTGACACAGAGAGAGAGAGCATGAGCAAGAGGGAGAGGGAGAATCTTAAGCAGGCTCCACGCTAAGCGCGGAGCGTGATGTGGGACTCAATCCCAGGACCCTGAGATTATGACCTGAGCTGAAATCAAGCGTCAGATGCTTAACCAACTGGGTCACCCAGGTGCCCCTTCAAAATCTTAAAAAAATAAAATTTTTTTAAAAACTTAAAGAGAAACAAAGGCTCCACATTAGTTTCCTCTTGTTGCTGTAACAAACTACTACAAAGTTCGTGGCTTAAAAACGACACACATTTATCATCTTCGTTCTAGAGGCTAGAAGTCCAAAATGGGTCTCACTGGGCTAAAACCAAAGTGTTAGCCAGGCTGGTTTCTTCCAGAGGCCCCGTGGGAGAAGTGTTTCCTTGTGTTTTCCAGCTTTTAGAGGCCACCACAGTTCTTGGCTTCTAGTCCCTTCTTCCATCCTCAAAGCCAGCAAGCAAGGCATCTTCAGATGTTTCTCAGGAGTCTTGTGATTATGCTGGACTCACACAATCCATGAAATCCAATCCTGAAATCATCTCCCCATTTCAGGGTCCACCACATAATCCTATCTGCAAAGTCCCTTTCTCCTTGTAACCTAGTCACAGTCCCACCTAACTTTAGTAAGTTTAGTGAGAACTAACAGCACCCCTGTGTTTCTGAGTGAAGGTATCACTCTGGGTGCCGAATGCAAGAGCTCCTAGTACAGATCTCCTTTAAATCTAATTCGGAAGTAACAGGCAATACCAGAGTAGGAAAACAGAACGACTGCTGACTCTGGGGTGTGAGTGGGGACTGAGAAAGGGCATAAAGGAATTCTCTGAGATAGTGGTCGTGGTCTCTATTCTGATAGTGTTGTAGGGTGCAAAGAATATAAACAAATACTAAATTCTAACAGGTATTTAGAGGAAATTGTGATGTCTGCCATCCTGAAATGTGCTATAGAAGGATTAGGGTTAAGGTTAGGGGGGTAAATAGGTGATAAGCAGGCACAGTAACATATTTATGGTAGAAGCTAGGTGGGGAGTACACAAGTGATCACTATAAAAATCTTGCGTTGTTTGAGCATTTTTATAAAGGAATTTTGGGAAAAAGGAGTGATGACTCCGCAATATCACTCCAGTGACTTAAATGAATAAAGGGATGGGTCGTGTTTTGACAGGTGCGGGAGTACTACTGACCATCTCCATCACAAGGAAGGAGGGGAGTATTACCAGCACACACAGGGTGGGGGCCAGAGAAGCTACCGGAACTAACTAGCCTGCCCACATGACAAAGAACTTCTACACCAATGGCACCAAGGAACACCAATTCAAAACCCCCATCTTCCCTGCGTAATCCTCTATCAGTTTGCTGCAGCACATCTCCAACCGGGTAGTGGCTCATTTCTTGAGAGCCGGTTGCATCTCCCACTTCTTGCTAACTCCAGAGAACCCAGCAGAATGCTCTACCCAGAACACACATTTAAAAAACATCTGATGATGGGGAGTGGGGGGCGGGCCTGATAGCTCCTCCACCAGAGAAGATGCAAACCCCCCCTCTCACCCCGACCCCGCAGAAGGGCTCATAGGGAAGGACGTTCCTGCTACAGTTCTTTTGCCAAGCCCCAATCTCCAACACGACATCCCCACTGACACAGCCCCTACCCCACCCCCCTATACCAAATGGCCCCGGGGGGGGGGGCACCTGAAAGTAATCACGATCACACGGGGCTGAGAAAAGCCAGCATAAAGCACTTTTATTGCAATAATAAAACTTGAAACTCATACGTAGTGTGGGGAGGTGGGGGAAGGGGGGTAGGCAGCAATAATTTCTCTCACCAAATCACTACACAGGACAGCAAAGGGGTGAGAGGGGGAGGAGGAGAAGCCAGGAAACTCTGATTATCAGCAGGGGGAGCCGAACATCAAAAACCAGAAGATGCTGAAGCTGTGATGACCAGCATCATTTTCTCAAGACAACACTCAAGGGTTTGTCATGATGGCTGGGCTTTCATCGGGTGTTAAGTGTCTACAAACAGCACCTTCAATTTAAACTTTCGATTAAAGTTCTTAAAATTTGGGAAGTGGAGCTTGGACAGCTATGAGATTACAAAAGTCCTGAATATCCATTAGAAAAACCACAGGATGGGGAGAGAAAAAAATAATAAAATAAAAGCCAGGCCACGAAGAAGGCTTCAGAGGTCCCTGCTGGCCTGGGGACAGATACCTGTAGTGTCCAACATCGCAGTGAGAACGATTTGCTTTCAAAAGGCAGAAGGTTTAAGGGGAGGCTGGGGCGGGGCAGTGGAGGCAAAAGCTCTCCCCCCCGCCACCACTTCAGTTTTAGGTTGGGCTTTTAATACAACCCAAGGACATCTCTCAACTGGGAGAGTAATTCGGCCCTCGACAGCGCCTCAAATCTGCTATGGCTTTGCAGCGCAGCAGCAAGAATGTTTAATATATAATAGATAACAATTTCATCCAAAAAAAAATAAAATAAAATAAAGATTCTTGCATTCCCCCCCACCCCGACACCAATTCCTATTCTAAAGTTAACCCATTACTTGTGCTGTTAATACTTGACTAATACTTAAGTGGAAACCTAGATCCAAAAGATTGAAACTGAACCTTCACCCCAAAACAAAACAAAATAAAATGAGTAACTTGAGGTTTATGGCATATAGTTTAGGTCAACACACATACGAGGAAAAAGGGAAAGAGCAAAGCCAGGTGACAGAACACATTCAGTCGGGGTCGATGTTTAGACAAAGAGTGTAGTGGAACATCAGGAAAAGCTCCGTCCGGGTTCGCATATGCACGTCTGAGGGCGCCACATCCCTCCGCGGCACATCTGTTGGGAACAGAAAATCCATCAGGTCCAGCAACACAGTGCTCTGTATACACGCTGGGGACAGGCATGGGACGTCAGCCATTCCAAGTCCAGGGAGCTGCAAGGTCTCACCCGGAACAAGCCACCTCCGTTCCAGCTAGGGAGAGCCTGCTGGGCTTGGGCTGGCTTCCCAAAGCAGTCTCCTTTTTTAAGCTAAGGTGCCGTCTACCTTGCTGAGGAGAGCAGTGACGGTCCAGTTCCCCATTATCACTGGGTCTCCCAACGTGGCTGCACATAGGAATCACTTGGGGGCTTTAAAAGCATGTCCTGCTGGGCTCCCACTCCCAGTGGTTGTGGTTAACTGGTCCCAGGTGTGGCCCGGCCATCAGCAGTCTTTGAACTCAGTCTTCCTGCGTGACTTCTGTGTGTGTGGCACTAAGTTGGTACATCCCTCAGGTTGAAGAGATTTAGAAAGCGTCTGTGCTCTTTATTCATTTATTCAAACCTACGACTTTCTAGGTCTGGCCTTGGACTTTCTCTTAAGACCTGTGCAAGAAGCTCTGAGATGTTCTTTGGCGATGTGGGGGGAGGCTTTGGCCAGGGTGACTTGTAGCCCTCTCTCCCTGCCTTCTCCTCCATTCATCCTATCAGATTTACAGAATGCCTGTACCCAAATCAGCATAATTCCAAGGCTCCCTTCAAATAGTTTTATGTCCAGAGGATTCAGCTCTCAAAGAACAGGAAAGAGGGTTTGGACTAGGTGTAGACCTTTGGGCAGACAGAGGCTCTGTAAAATGTCAAGAGGTCCCTCTTGGTGAGAATGACAAGCAGAGAAGCCAGGGTCATCAAACCTGACCCAGGTATATACGGTTCAAATCAGAGAGAGAAAAAACAGCTAAGAATTTAAAAAGCCCTTGTATTTAAAGAAGTCCGTAGCAGCACAAGGTTAGACTATAAGAGACAGGCCAGCGGCCACTTGTCACCGTTTTCAAACAAAAGCGTTCTCACCCAGCCCCTGGTTGTGGTCCTCTGGTTCCAGGGCCAGGAGGGGGGCAAACCTAGAGGTCTGGGGCCAAGTGGAAAGAAGATGGCAGCATTCATGTGTTTTATGATACTGATACACACACGAAAAGTTATGAGCCATTAAGCCACTGAGTTTGGCTTCCTAGAGAGGAGGGTAAAAGGACGGAAAACAAGTCCAGGAAGGGGAAGCAGGAGAGGGGTTCCAGTCCTAGTCCACCACTGCCTGGAAGTGACCTCGAGTGACCTCAGGTCCCTCACCTGTTACACAGGAAGGCTGAGCAACCCCTCAGATCTCTTCTTAGGACTGAGGGCACCTCTATACTTCACAAGCGCCCCCCCCCCCCCGCCTCACTCTTCCAGCCACAGACAGCAAGTGGGCCTCTGTGCTCCAGTGTCCTGGGCGTGGCCCCAAGGCAGCCGGCCCAGGTGACAGTGCCTCTCTCACACCCCCTCAGGCAGTGGCCTCGCTCTACATGGTGAGGGGGCTGCATGCACTACGTCACAGCAGGCAGTCCTCAACAGCCTTCCTTCTAAAGAACTAAAACGCTGCCATTATAAATTCGGCCACGGTTCCGGTTCCCAACTCCGTTTTAGTTTCTAAGTTAAATATAAAACATCCTTCATTTAAACGGCTACCATCAGCTGCCCCATCCCAATGAGTTTTTTGGAGACCATACGCCATCCCTTTCCATAGCGTGACCAACTTTTACATTCAAGGTATACACTAATAACTCAAACTGAAAGGCTACCCAATTAAGCAAGAATGTAGGGGGGAAGAAAACCCATGGCATTTTTGGTTCTGCTACCCACCAAGCACTGGGTGTAACATGGGAGGTACAAAGGTAGGAAGAGACCCTTCACATTCACTGCCTTACCCAAGAATGGGGAGCTCATGAAGGAGGTCACTCCTGTCATTCCAGTTTCAGAAGCTCCACGTCAAAGACGAGAGTGGCATTTGGCGGGATGATGCCTGGGTGCCCAGTAGCACCGTAGGCGTAGTCTGGGGAGATGGTCAGTTTGGCTCTCTGACCCACACTCATCTGTGAAAATAAAAAGAAAGACTCAAGCGGACACACTCCCCAACTGTCTCTGTAAGAAGCACGGCTGCTTATTGGGGTGTCCTTTAGCCAGCGTCCCAGGACTCAGACATGCCAGTGACTGTGTGGCTGGTCTGGGGGCTGGGCACCTCCCAGCGCAGAACACGGAGGCTGGCCATCAGGCTGCACAATCCCTGCATCTGGCTCTGCAGGGCCCAAGCCCGATGACACGCACCTTCCTGCACAGGCCTCCCTGACCTGACCCCAGGCAGCCGTACTGTGCCAGTGCCACCACTCAGGCCTTCAGCAGTCTGTCACTCAGAGCACGTGTTAAGTGGCATCCATGCTCTTAAAAAAGGAGTACTTTGACCAAAACTCCGCTTTAAAAGAAAACATATACACAGAAAGCAGCATTTGGGGTAGTCTACTCTTCTGTACTTTCCATATTTTATACTTATGCTCATACAGAAAAACTTAAAAAAGACAGATTCTACAAAGTATCATGTACAGTAGGCTACCATTTGTATGAAAAAGAGGGAAACATTTATATATTTGCACCTGGCCTATATAAACAGAAAACACCTTTGGAAGGACACAATTCCAGCATTTTTCCATGGGGAGAATAGAGTACAGTGGCCAGGGTGGAGGGAAATACTTGACTTTTAAAATCCCATTTGTAGTGGGGCTCCTGGGTGGCTCCGTCGGTTGGGCATCGGCTTCAGCTCATGTCATGATCTCAGGGTCCTGGGATCAAGCCCCATATGGGGCTCCCTGCTCAGCGGGGAGTCTGCTTCTCCCTCTCTTCCCCACTAATGCTCTTGAATAAATAAAATCTTTAAAAAAAAATACATTTGTGCTTTTTCATTTCCTAATCAAATATATAAATACGTTTCCATATGTATTTTTTTTTTTTAAAGATTTTATTTATTTATTTGACAGAGAGAGATCACAAGCAGACAGAGAGGCAGGCAGAGAGAGGGAGGGAAGCAGGCTCCCCACCAAGCAGAGAGCCCGATGCGGGACTCGATCCCAGGACCCTGAGATCACGACCTGAGCCGAAGGCAGCGGCTTAACCCACTGAGCCACTCAGGCGCCCCACCATATGTATTTTCTGAATGGTGAGCAGGCACTCTGCTGTGTGTCTGTCCTTCCAGCACTCTCTGCTCAGCCTCCTGCTGTGTGCTCCTGACTCTCTGACCTGGCCCCCTGACCTGGCCCCGGAGACAGCGGCTAAGACGGAGCCACAGGCTATGCTCAGAACATGATGTGACTTAGAACCTGTGCTCCCCACATCTCCTTTCAGAAACCAGGACACACTGGACCAGGGTGGTAGGGCAGTTAAAAGCATATGGCTTAATCTAATGAAATTCAAAACAGTCATGTCCTTTTACCCAGCAATTTCACAGGCCCATCTGCACCATGGGTCAGCCACTAGAAACAACACTGCAGTCTTAAGTGCACTAACATGGAAAGAAGGCAAAGACACAGAGGAGAAAGAAGCAAGCTGCCCAAACAGCACCTGTGGCAGGACCACGCACCTGTAAACACGTAAGAGCAAAACAACAACGATATCAAAAGAAAGGGAAAAGGGGCACAAGACAAACCCCCTTCTTCCTGTGATTTTAACTCACTCAAAGAAATATCCTGTGGAGTTTCCTGTGGAGTGCTCTATGCAGGTCTCAGACCACCCAGACTTCTCCCAAGTGACAGGCCTGGGACTGACCCCCAAGCACACTGGGTCCAGGGGTAGACTGGGCATCTCCCCAACACCCGGTCAGGCCTCGCCAAGCCTGGGATGTAAAATAGGCTGATAACACTATCTCGGTGGCCACCAGATCTCTTGGAACACAACACAGTTATTGTTCCAGTGTCGGAAGCGCCACAGAAGATGGCTATGGTGTGGACAATGGTTGGCATGGTCGTGGGGGATGGGCTACAGACCCAGAGCCAGCCAGACGCAGGCGGCGGGGACAGAGGTTTCCACAGGGAAGTGAACCACAAAGATCCTCTCGTTCTTGTACTGCCAACCCTCTCCCCTGCAGGAACGGAAATCTAGACACTTGGGAGTGGGATGGCTTAAAGTTTCTGCAAGTTGAGCAGGTCACTGGGAGATAAATCGGTGATGGTTTCTAGAGGAAGCAGAGCAATGTGTATTCTGGAAATGAGAAAGACAGACCTCTTTCTCTCTACTTCAGTTACCCCTCAGTTCTCTTCAGTGGGAGGGAAACAGACTGATGGCCCCTCACACAGGGCTGACTCTAAAGCCCCGCGTCTCAGGATGCCGGAACCTGGTCGGTGCCAGGAGAAAGCCTCCTGGGCTTGATGGAAGGCTGGAACCCAACTGGAATTTGGCACCCCTGGGTCCCCTGTTGTCCACTGGGAATTCTGTTGTGTTGGCAGAACAAAACCTGGTTACACACATGGGGAGGAAGGGCTGAGGAAACAGACGCAAGACAAACAAAATGCCTCTCTCCATGAGCATGAGCTCTCAGAAGGGGTCTGACACAGCATGGCCAGCAATTAGACAAACGCAAGTTAAGACCACATCAAGGTAACATTTTCCCCTCACTGTATTGTCCTGAATCCAAAAGTTGAACAAGACGCTGCTGGCGGGGCTGGGAGGAGACAAACACCCTCACAACCCACCCACTGGTGGCAGCTCGGGGTCATCCCTAGGGATAGCGACTGGACAGTATGTCAAAACACAGTGCACATAGCTAGTGACCCGCTCACCCCTCCTTCTGAGAACCCGCCTGTGGCAAGACGTACACAAATGTAAAATTCAGTCCACATGAGACTCATCACTGCAGCACTGTTTATAATAGCAAAATACTGGAACTGACCATCAACAGGGTACTGTACCGATGAAACAAATAAAACACGCCCACCTAAGGGCGTGTGGGAGGAGAGCGTCCTCCTCTTATGTCCGGATATATAAAGTGTGAAAGATTAAATGAAAACGCAAAGTGTATAACACTGTGTGAGACTACAGCAAAAAAAGGGGAAAAGTATGCTTTCGTAGAATGCTTAAGGAAACTCTACCAAAAAAAAAAAAAAAAAAAATACCATGAGTTGCTGGGGGTAAGGGGACTGGCAAGACGGGGTGAGATGGAAGTGAAAATTTCCACTCGCACCTTTTATTTTTGTTTGTTTCTGAACTGAATGAACGTCCTACCCACAAGCATCATTTAAAAGGCAGACACCAGGAAAGAAAACAAACAAATGAGAGCATACCTGGGCAACCCCTTCTTCCCAGCCTCGGATCACCTCCTGCTTGCCTAGCATAAACTTAAAGGGCTTGTTTCTGTCCCGGGAGGAATCAAATTTCTTTCCATCTTCAAGCATCCCTGTGAAAAAGGGCAGTTGTAACATGAGCAACAAGGAGTGATGACGTGAGGCGAGTCAGAAGCCGGCAGCAGAGCGCCCATCCTGGATGCTGGCGCTGAAGGCCTAGCAGGGCTGCTGGAGGCCTGAGGAGGAAATGCGGCGTCCAGGGAGGATTTCCTGTGTCCTCAGTGGCCCTCCACAGAGCGGGATAGTCCCTCTACCCCGGGGCTGTGAGTGTTCTGCCCGACTCCAGGCAGTAGGCTGACCACCAGAGGCGGGCAGCTGTCGGCCCTGGTGTGAGAATGGGCAAGCGTGCACGCTCCCGATGTCGATTTCCAGCACGCTCCCAGGCCAAGAACAACTGTGGGCCCTTTAGGCACACGCAGCGGCTGGCAATCACACGCGGCCCAGAAGCAACAGGCCCTCCTCAGTTCACCCATCCCCTTTTACAGAAACGTGGGGAGTGTCAGAACTGAACTGAACGGTTTGGACGTTCGGACGCCAGCTGGTGTCAGAGAATCAGGGAAGGGACAACAGAAAAGACACTGAAAGTCTCTCTGCGGGGAACTCCCAACAACTCCAGCAGAACTGTGGGCCGGGCTGCCACTCAGAGTCAGGGACTTTCCGTACATGAACCTACTCAGTCCTCCCCCAGCCCTGTCCCCATTTCACAGAAGGAAGTGAGGCGGAGGGAAGTGAAGCAACCTGCCGAGTAGTGAAGCCAGACTATAAATCCAACAGCCATGTTCGTCCGACTTCTCCAGTGTCCCAGGAGCCAGACAAAGCACCGAAAGGGGGACTTCCAGAGATGGAGATGCCAGATGGTGAGTGCCACGAGAGAACAGATTCCTGCCACTCCTCGCTGAAAAAGGACTGTCGTGGTGGCTTCTCTGGAAGCCAGAGTCAGCCAGTCACAGCCGCCACTGAGGTCCTGAACTGCCAAACCACCGTCCCACACTGGAAGGGGTAAGCCAGGTGTCCACCTACAACTAACACAAAGCAGATTTCCCTGGAGGCAGAGGGTGAGAGCCCACGATGGTTCTAAGTATCACTCGGAAGACCCAGCAAAACACAGAATTCTGTTGTGTTCGGATGTTTTTAGAGGAGGAGGGAAATCCTAACATAAACCCTAACGTGAAAAACAACGTCAAACTTGCAAGTGGGATGGGGAAGCATAGATCAACTGAGAGCTTTATCAGAGCCGCCAGAAGAGCTGAACTTTGACAAAATAGGAAATGGGCAGTGGCGGGGACGGGAACTGCTGTCCTAACAGAACAGGAAGGCAGACAGATGTCCTGAGCAGAGTGGGTGCTGACGCCGCCTGAAGTCTGGAGCTGGGGGCCGAGGCCTGAGAGGTAGCCAGGAGGGCGGGGATCCACCCCTGCCAAGTCAGTGCAGAGCCAGGAACTGGTGCCCCACAACTAGCAAGCTGGCCAGTGTACATGGAGCTCATCTCTTTACCCGAACACAATCATGACCTGATGAAAGAAATGACAAATGGCAGCACCTGAGTAGTTTTCTATAAACGAGCAGCTGGGAGAAAAACAGGTATCCGCCCTCCACAACTCTCACAGTAGTCCCTCCCCTACGAGCTCTACTGCATACACTGAACCTGACCTTCTCGAATCCTGCATTAAGGGTGAGAGTAGGCCATGAGCAGTCCGGAGTCTGAGAATCCTTTCTCTGACCAGGCAGAAAGCCCTTCCAGCCACGCACCCAAGCCTGCTTAAAACAAAAATAAGGAAACCAATTCCAAGGCTTAGTTAACCTGCCCAAGGTCAGAGTCAGTGCATAGTGGGGCCTGGCTCTGGCAAAACAAAAAAACAAAAAAGCACCAAATAAAACACAAAACAAAAACACTTCCATAAAAAGAGAGTGAAGAGACAGAGAAGCAACACCCACCACAGCTAAAACATGGTTTCTGAGACATTGGTCACAGCAGTAAAGGAGAGCCATCCCTGAGGGGAAACTAACAAGGCCAGCCGGAGGACCGCCCAGCTTACACCCTTGGGTGTTTCCAGGGAGAGGGACCTGGACGGAGCTCAAGGGATCTGGAGTCCAAAGGACACAAACCAGGAAGGACAGAGGTGTAGAGTGAAATCCCCGGAGATGTGCAGAAGGTCCCTCTTGAGTATTTAACAGAATACTAATCAGCACATGTGTCTGAGGAAACTACTTAAGGCCAGGAAAAGAACTATCCAAAATTAGAACAGTACCCAGTGCTTAAACAGAGCTGGGATCAGTGACTGTTCCAACCAGGCAGACTGGAGAAAATCCTGGTTTATGAGGCACTGGGTAGGACACCCAGAAGATCTCATCTCAGCAGTGGGGACTAATCAGCCCCAAACTGAACACTGCTCCAGACCCACCTAACAAATCATAAAAGACCCAAAAGGATCAAACTGTTTCCAAGTAACTTATGTGCTTCCAATTACAAAGCTCAAGAAGATTTATAGGAATAAAAATATCCAGCACCCCAAAAGGTAAAATTCACAATGTCAAGCACCCAAAATTACCAAGCATGCAAACAGGAGGGAAAACACGACCCAAAATGAGGAGGCTAATCAATCAACTGAAACCACCCTGAAACTGACAGAGAGGGAAGGACAGAAAGGAGTCAGACCAAACTTGCAGACATGACAACTACATTGGGCTGCAACAACTGGATACCCACAGGCCGAAAGTAAAACCTTGGACCTGCACTTCGCATCATCATCAAATACCAACCCAAAACGGGTAACAGACCTAAACATAAACATAAACCTATAAAACTTCTAGAAGAAAACACAGGGAAATAATGTCTGTGACTGTGGGTCAGGCAAAGACTTCTCTGATATGAGACAAGAAAGCACAATCCGTAAAAGGATCAACTGAACTTCATCAAAGCTAACAACTTCAGCACTTTGAAAGATACTTTTTTTTTTTTTAAAGATTTTTTATTTATTTGACAGAGAGAGATCACAAGCAGGCAGAGAGGCAGGCAGAGAGAGAGGGAAGCATGGCGCCCTGCTGAGCCGAGAGCCCGACGCGGGGCTCGATGTGGGGCTTGATCCCAGGACCCTGAGACCATGACCGGAGCCGAAGGCAGAGGCTTTAACCCACTGAGCCACCCAGGCGCCCCTGAAAGATACTTTTAAGAGAATGAAAACTCAGGGGCACGTGCACCCGAATGTTTATAGCAGCAATGTCTACAATAGCCAAACTATGGAAAGAACCTAGATGTCCATCAACAGACGAATGGATAAAGAAGATGTGGTATATATACACAATGGAATACTATGCAGCCATCAAAAGAAATGAAATCTTGCCATTTGCGACGACGTGGATGGAACTAGAGGGTATCATGCTTAGTGAAATAAGTCAATCGGAGAAAGACAACTATCATATGATCTCCCTGATATGAGGGAGAGGAGATGCAACATGGGGGGTTAAGGGGGTAGGGGAAGAGTAAATGAAACAAGATGGGATTGGGAGGGAGACAAACCATAAGTGACTCTTAATCTCACAAAACAAACTGAGGGTTGATGGGGGGAGGGGGGTTGGGAGAGGGGGGGGGGGGTTATGGACATTGGGGAGGGTATGTGCTATGGTGAGTGCTGTGAAGTGTGTAAACCTGGCGATTCACAGACCTGTACCCCTGGGGATAAAATATATGTTTATAAAAAATAAAATTAAAAAAAAAAAAAAAGAGAATGAAAACTCGGGGCATAGACTGGGAGAAAATCTTTGCAAAAGCACCTATCTGATAAAGAATTTGTGTCCAGAATATAGGAAGAGCTCGCAAAACTCTACAACAAGGAAACAAATAGCTCAATTTAAAAAGGGCAAGAGATGTGAACAGATACTTCACTGAAAAAAATAGCCAAGTGGCAAGTAAGCACATGACGAGAAGATGCTCGACAGGACTAGTCATGATAAAAACGTGTATGAAACCACTAGGCGATACGACCACTACTTACGAGAATGAGTACAACTGAAAAGACCGAGCATATCACGCTCCGTGAGGATGTGTGGAGGAACTGGAGTTCTGACACGCTGCCGACAGGACTATAAAATGGAACGGCCGCTCTGGGAAACAGGTTGGCCACCTAAGTTAAACAAATACCTTCCATATGACCTGGCCGTTCCATTTATCCTGGATAAAGACCCAGGAGAAATGACAGCCATACAAAGACTTACATAGAGATGTTCACAGCAAACTCACTTGGAATAGCCAAAACTGGACCAACCCAAACATGTGCCAGCTGGTGAACGTATAAACAAGTACACCCATACAACAGGAAACTATTCAGCAGTGAGAAAGAACGAACTACTGATAACACAGAACGACCTAAGAATCTCAAAATAATTATGCTGAGCAGAAGCAGCCAGACACAGGTCTATACACTGTACAATTCCACGTATACAAGCTTTTAGAAAACACAAACTCTGCTGAGAGAAAAGCCGGCCAGGGGTTGCGGAGGATGGAAAGAGGAGGTTTCAAAGAATGGCAAAGACACATATCAAAACTTAGGAAATTGTACCATTAAATATAAGCAGGCTATTGGATGTCAATTATGCCTCTACAAAACTGGGTTTTTGTTTTTGTTTTTAAAGAGAAAAAAGTAAAAAAAGTGAGATTCACTAAAATCCTACACGTGTTTACCTCCTGCAGCCAACCCGGCAGTGGGCGGTGAGGTGCTTCCTCTGTAAAGCGAGGGAGCAAGCGAAGCAGGTGGCCCGTCAAGTCTCAGCCGCGGCTCCCACTTCAACTCCAGACATCTGTGTGCCAAGACCTGGAGCCCTTGAACAGCAAAACCACCTGCCAAGCTAGTGCCATCATTTCCTCGAGAAAGCACGCTCTGATGAGAGAAGGCAACTGAGGTTACAGTTCAGACACGACAGCTGACACTCCGAGCTCCGGAGGCCACTCTTAGCAAAACCCATCACCAGCGTGGCCCTCTGTCAGCGGCACTGATGGATTTCATTTCTGACCACACGCAAACCTGGGCCTCATGACCCACAGACTGCCTGGGACCGC